AGATGCCCTTGGAGGAAATGCAGGGTCTGGGTTTTGGAGGCGACGGCGGAAGTGATAATGATTTCATATCCCATGAACACGAAGCACAGGTGGCAGTTTCAACGGCACAGCCACTGGCTCCGTCGAAGATGGCCTCGGCTCCCATTCCTATACCCAGCCCCAAGCAAAACGAAGTGTACATGTTCGATGCAGGTCCTGATCCGAACCATAGTCTGGCACAAGATCTATATTTTTCCGGAAGGAATGCCTGATTGGCGAATGAAGAAAAGGGTGTTTGACCTGGGAGATTGTCAGACGGACAAAATTATGGCGGTAAAAGTCTCGGATTCTGGTTTTAGTTAGCCATGTCAAAGCCTCGTGAGCGTTCAAAAGGTTCTTTACCTGACATAGAAGTTAAAGCAGGCGACGTTTAGTCTTAATATAATCGGTTCATAGAGGGATTTGATCCTTGCTTCGCACATGTCAGACGTAGGGCGCAGGGCGTGTAACCTGGAACTGACAAGCGTGCCACTTCCATTTGATTGGCTGGGTATATAGGTCTAGTATCCATTATGGATGCTAGGTGGATGGATGAAATGAATCATGGATCTCATGTTTACCTACCTTGACGGGTTTGGCTCGGGATTGTCACTCGCGGGATTGCTTGCTTATCGGGGGCAAGGGAAACCGAGTCGAGACGAGTCTATTGACATGTGATTCTCTCGGAATTGGACGCCGGGCCTTTTCGAGGGGATTTTTCCCCCTCTAATGCAGTCGAACTGGCCTTCATGCATCAGTCGCCGCTACTTAACCTCTGACACAGCCACGTGCTATTTCACCGTGGCCTGATAAAATCAGTAGACCCAAGGACAACCGCAAGCGAATTCCAACGCTTTCCCGCCCGTCTGCGCCAGACATACGCAGACGCTCTCGCCTTTCGCCCTAACCCCCTCTCCAGTCACTGTCGATGGTCAAAGACGGCAGTTGGCCGTCGAAAATGGCAGTCATGGATGATCAAGCATCGTTGCATGACACAATGGTGTATCCTCAGGCGTTTACCATCCTTTTTCCCGTCATTCCAGCATCCCTCCGACGGCGACTCCCTAGCTTGTACTCTACTATTCAGCGATCGGTCAGCTCAGGTGCCGCGCCAAACTTCAAGACGAATACGACTGGCGAGCACTCGAGCTCCATGCACTCGCGTATGCCGTCGTCCTCCATTCCGGAATTAGAGTGCTACAAGACCCTGCCTGGCCCATTCACCGGCGACCTTTTCCCGCGGCCTGCGACAGCGGATAGTTCGAGCAATGAGCGAGACTCTTGCGTGTCTTCTGTCTCGGGAAAGGCTCCAGACATGAGTGAGATTACTGCCTTTGAAGAGGGTAGATATGGTGATGCATTCGGCGCATCGTCATCCTCGAGGTACGAAGCGGAGTCCGGACTGCGATGGAATAGAGTAATACCTGGTTTGTAATGACAACACCTATCCCCTCTATAATAAATCTGAAATTTTCCGAATTATGCCCTTGTCCTCCGACTGCAGAACGCTGAGTTCTCCGTGGAAGATGATCTGGGAATCCTGTTGTGCCAGAACTGACTCACTTCTACTATTAGCGCTGAGCCTTCTCCGAAACGCTGGATATGAAGCGCAACAGCCCCGGTGCGACGGTCCCCTAGCCCGCTCCTTGTATATTACTGCCCTGGGGTATCTATTAGATGCTCTGCCAGCGGAACTGACTCACGACGAGATCGCAACCATCCGGCATAACCTGCCATCAAGTCTCCAGTCATCCACATTGGCACCGGGCGATGCAAGCCAGCCGGCAACAGGGCTTATGAGTTCTGACACAAAATCAGACATATATAATCAGTCTAATAAGTCTGGAAGGTCACTCCTGCATCGCTTGCTGGCGTACGTTATTATTCAATTCTTTGTCCTTGTGCGATACGTCGTCCCGTACCTGAAGCTACTCCTTGCGCGGGTCTATCAGTACGAGCGCTCTCATCGGGTCACCGAACGTGTCATTTCAACGACGCTGGACACGGTAGATAGCTGGGGCAAACGATGCATGAGCTTTGGGTCTACCATCCTAGGTCTCTACGAGGGAAGGGTGCGCTCGACGGTGATTAACATTACAGACTGGTGGGTGGAAGGTATCGCGGGGGGTATCTATGAGGGCGTGGGAGAGGGTATGACGGTTCTGGGGCTGATCCAACCCCATACAAAACTTGAGAGGGCCTCGATTCAAGCACTGAAGAGGGGAATGTGACATGACATCTTATGACATGAGCTTTGCAGGCGGCTGTCTATGATTGCGGTGCACTTTTCTATTTACGTTATTGGAGCACTCACTACAAGCGTTAAGATTGCATGCAAGTATAGAGATAGACTATTTGACTATTTGACTATCTGACTATTTAACTATGTGACTATTTGACAATAAGCCAAGATTGTGCTTAGTACATACGTAAGTTACTGTACGTGATGTACATACCTGGCTATATCCTTATCTGCCTGAGGCTTGAGATGGCGGGACCGATGAGGCAGGCGGGGTGGAGATAACGGGGATAAGGCGAGATCAACACTTCCAGTTGACATCGAGCCCGCCCCTAAAGAATGGAAAGCCAGACGAGACGGACTTCCGCCCCAACCATAAACAGTACATCATGTCGACAACCCGTTTACCCAGCATTCCATCCCTTAGAAAACAGCAGCTTCTTTTGGAATTGTCAGTCAGTCCATAATAAAATCTAATCGTCCGAGCTTCGGCTAATGGCACCAGTGCAAGCTTGCAACATGCAGCCCCTCCGGGCACCTACGTGAGCCTCAGTCCCGGTGATCCAACGCTCTGGTCTGGTGTCATATTTGTTCGCGCTGGTAAGAAATCTCCACGAGTTTGGCAGGCCAACTGAAGCTCCATAGCAGCTAACAATCATGTTTGCTACTCGTCCGTTGAAGGTCCCTATGCCTCCGCTGTCCTCCGTTTCCAGATCCGTTTTCCTGACTCCTATCCCGACATGCCGCCCATGGTCAACTTCGCGACCGACGTCTTTCACCCCCTGGTCGTGCCCCTGACCACCTACACCTTCAGCACAGGTGCTTCGAACGAAGATCCCGTCAGCGCCACCGACGATGAGCGGCTACCCCCCGGCGGATTTAGTTTACGACACGGATTCCCGCACTGGTTTGGTCGGGCCAAACGAGGCGGGTTCAACCCGTCAACAGCTCCATCCATCAAAGCCGTGAGCGTGCGCAACTCAACCATCAGCACCAATACAGGCGGAGGAAGGAGACCTGATACGCCGACTAGCAAAGAACCCATACTCGACCAAGACCAGACGACCCCCACCTCGCCCACGACGGAAGAGACCGACCCCACTTCTCCGATAGTAGACCGACGTTTCTCGGAACCGAGGAAAACCGTCCCGGTAGCAGTCCTTTTCGACTATATTCGCTCGACATTCGACGATACGACGGTTCTGGATTCCTTACCGTTGGAGGCGGCCGCGAACCCGAGCGCGTGGCATGCGTGGAAGGCACACCAGAGGGGCAACGATGGCGCTACGGTTACCTCATCGGGCGGGATGAAGAAGGCTGGAAGTCCGCAAGCCAGAGCCCCTGGGGACTGGCATTGGGATGGGATATGGGTGAGACGGGTGCAGAGTGAGATTGAGGCTAGTATTTCGGATTCAACCCTGTATGGGGCTACGCGCGGAGGGGCGGATGAGACGGTATGTTATCTATTTTCGTTTCCTCTCTTCAGCGAGAAACTGTTGCTGACATGGACTTGCCATAGATTCGATTCACCCGCCTGGACAGGGCTACGCTCGCATCGGTGAAAGAGAAAATCAACCCACGAACGGAGGAGATGCATCAATAAAGCCTACGAGCTAGGTGCTTCAATATACCCATTGTACTACCACCAATCAGTTGATCTGAGATATACCTGCTCTCATACCTAATTATTCATGAGCTCGAGATTTCATCATGACTGTCGTTTTGAGTCGCTGTTCGCACCTTCCCATTCGGTGCACAGCAGCTAGCAACTTACCCTCCCAGTACCTTCAATTTCAGAACACCAGAACTTAGCATCCCAATCACCAGCTTCTTGTATGTCCTACCTATGCGAATTTTATCACAGCTACAAAAAAGCCCTGTGGCAATTGTCGTCCAGCACCTCTCAAAAGTCAACCCACAGCAACATCCGAACCATTCACCGCAAACCCACCGACATAAGCCTTCCTGACACTTACAATGCGCACCACCCTCAATGAGAAGCGAACATTTCCCCCGTCCAACTACAAGACAACGATCATCGTCTGTCTCCTCATCCTCGTCCCCATCGTCACAATCTGTTGCATCTTCGCCCTGGCTGTCGCCTGCTCTGAGTACTGCAGCTCCCGCAGCAAGCGTCGGTCCGTGAGAGCTGGTGGGGGCGGGCGAGGGGGAGGCAGAAAAGATAGGACCGCACGCATCTTCTTTCGGGCGCCGCAGAACTCGCGCGATGGCGGCCCAGTACCATGAGCCGAGAACTTTTGGTTTCGATTTCTCCTCGCGCGGAGAGAGAGAGAGAAAGAGTCTGAAAACAGGCTTGTGCTGAAGGGGATGGGAGCTTGTAGCCGGGACTCATCGGTTCTACGGTTAAATTATGGTGCCTGATGCTCGTTTGGTTGGGGATGTGGGCTTCAAGGAGTTTTGGATGATGTGATCAAGTGAGAGGAAGCAGAAGAGCGCGGAAGTCGGTTGTGGATTGTCAACTCGTCTCCCATGACACGATGCGACACGGTTGTTTGACGCCCGGATTTGCTGGAGTGCTGCAGTCAACGTGGCCGTAGTCAAAGTGGATGCTGGCAAAAGACTGGCTTGGTTCACTAATCTCTCCCCGGCCTCACAATTGAAGAGTCTCTTTTGATGATCAAGTGTAACTAAGGCTGTTATGCATACAGAATGAGATTGCGGAAGCATATCCATGGGATGACGCAGTGTCACCAGTGCGACCCTTTCACTATATCGGGTATTCTCAGATACTGGTATTCTCCTTCTCATTGCCTACCTGTCCCCCAAGCCCAGCCTCAAGCTGATCCTGTCCTTCTACGAAGTTCTCCAACCACGGCGCATCATCAGGCACGGCCGTCTTGTCCCAGAGTGGCTCCCCGTCCTCATCGAAATCCGCCCACTGGAAAAAGCTACACCCTTTCTTGCCCGGGGCATACCCCACATAGCACATCCACATATACCGGCCCCGGGTCTCGCGTCTGCGCTGCACGCACCGCAGAATCGTAGGGACACCACACCGGCACCGGGGCGTGTACCGCGGGTGCAAGGAGTCGCGGTACCACCGATACGTGACATTGATGCGCCGATTCCCCGCCAGTGAATGCGGCGAGATGGTCTGCGCCGGCACAATGGCGTGCTTCCATTCCTCCTGCATCTCCGCGTGCATGACCAGCAGCGAGTTGTGCGGGAGGTGAATAGAGATTTGCCCCTGAGCGTTTGCCCGGGCTGCTGCTGCTGCTGCTGCTGGTGACGATGTAGTCGGTGATTTGCGAGAGTTGTTGTTGTGTTCCGAAGGAATCGGGACCTTGGTCGGAGTGGAAGTCTTATCCGCTGCTGTATGCGCCAAGATCCGTCCTTCGGAAGGATCTCCCGGCGCCTCCGGGTCTTCAGCAGCAGCAGCAGCAGCAGCAGCGTCGTCGTCGTTGTCGTCGGTGGGAACGATTCTTCGGACGCGAAACTCCCGCTCCACGCCGAGACTCAGGCTTCCGATCACGGCCCGCGGGCCGAGATAGGTCAGTTCATCCGAGTGGTATCCGACCGCCTCCATGGGCCCATCGTAGCAATTCACAAACGCCGCGTTGGGCATCCACTCGTTCGGGGATTGATACTTCAGCTTCCGGCCGCCCGGGTAGACGGTGCGGATGCGGTGCTGGATCTCAGCGTTGACGGCCTGCTGGACCTTACCGGAGACGGCGCGCAGGTGCGGGGTGGTCTGCCGGACGGTGGCCCGGTAGGTGCCACCGTAGGTGTACTCGGCGGTGTGCTGGCGGTGTTGCTCGGGGGTGGCGACGTAGATGCTGGCGGAGTGGGGGCTCTGGACGGTGCGGTCGAAGAGCTGGAAGCGGTAGCGCGAGAAGTGCTTCGATTCGTCGAGGAGCTCGAGCAGGAGCGCGTTGGCCTGCGCTGCGGGCAGGAAGTTGTGGATGATGGTGCAGGGCGTGTGTGCCGCGATGTCCTCCGGGGAGTATAGATGCAGTGTCTTGCCTTTGCGGGTCAGTGAGCGCTTCTGGTCTTGCAGGTGGGATATCCGCATGTGGGCGTTCAAGGAGGTCTGGATGGCGGGGGTGACGCCGGCCGTCGATCGCTTCTTGGGAGGGTACAGAGAGGCTTGCGCCTGGATGGTGGTGGTTGCTGTCTCTACGCAGCCGCCACTGGAAAGGAGAATCTCCATCAATGCGTCGAGAGCCATGTTCGGGAAGAGAGAGGCCAGGCGCGCCAGTTTCATGTCGGTCGAGTCCTCGTCCGAGCAGGTGGGCGTCGGTGGACTCCGGGCCCGTTTTCGGGAGAGATACCGATCCATGGTGGATACTTGACTTGTGAACTCAACTATTCAGACTATTACAACATAAAAACGGATTGTATAGTTGTAGGACGCAAAGGGAGTGAACGATTGCAAAGCGATGGGCGGACATGGATGTCCTATCACCACGTGACTGCTCTCAATATGGCCAATGAGCAGGCGTGCTCCTTGCGATAAGAACCATACTCGAGCAACTTGGAACTGGAAGGCAGTAACCATCGACATGGATGGGCGTCGCTCGATCTCTGCTTGCTACACAGCATCTGGAGATGCTACTTGATCAAGCCCCGCAGCCACAGTTATGATACTCTCAATATCATCTCTTTGAAACACCGTCTATGTCTATCCCAACTCTATACACCCGGTTCCCCAACGCCAGCGATCTATACGAGCCAAAACTCCAAGAGACATGAACCAACCCATCAAGACCACTGACTCTCTCCCAAATAGACTCGGCCCGAGCGATGAAACCGGCTCAAGCCATTCCCAAACCTCATCCCCTCGAGCACCTCCACCACCGCCGAGAGCGCCACCTGCGTCCAGCCGGGGTACTCCCCATCCGCGGGGTTGGAGTCGCGCCTCCTCCGATCCGGGAAATTCTCCTCCACCATGATGACCGGACAACTGCCGTAAGACAACTCCCCGGATCCCTTCTCACTGCCGTCCTCCGCCGAGCTCTCCCCGGCCTCCTCGTCTGTGTCCTTCTCCTGCGTCGTCGTCATGATCCTCTCCAAAGCCCGCAGCACCCCCTCATCCACCACCAAACACACCCGCAACCGCGCCGGCAGCTCCATCAGCGGCAGCGCCAGGTCCGCGCGCTTCCAGTCGTGGAACGCGCGGCGGACGGCGCCGATCTCCGCTCCCGCTCCTGCGAATCGCGTCTCGTCGCTGAAGACCTTGCAGGCGTAGCTCGTCTCGAGCAGGTGCCGCTGCTTGGGCGTGCCGGGGAGCCGGCGCGGGATGGCCGCCTGGACCTCGTGGGACAGGGCGCGCAGGAACACCGGGAGGAGTCGGTCCGCGCGGGCGCTGTAGGCCGTGCGGTAGACGACGGGGCCCCAGGTGAGGACCAGGAAGTCGCGTTCCGGGCTCGGGGGCAGCGAGCGGATGCCCGGCTGGGCGCCGATGTTGTAGATCTCTGTGGTGAGGAAGTCGGCGGCTGGGGTTGGGGATGATGCGTCATTGGGGGGTTGGTCGTTGGTGGTGTCATCGGTCCAGGCTGAGGGCATGGTGATGGCTTCTGAGGTCAATGTGTGATTGTGATTCAGTGAGTGTAGGTGGAACAGGGACAGAGGAGCGGAGGGGAGACAACGAAGATTTGACAAATTCCGAACCGTTGATCACAGTTTGGGCTACATCAAAGTTTAATTCTGGCCCTGATGGCGTCACTGTGACATCCATAATATTCTGGATGCATGGGAAGTGCGGTTGGCATCCTTGCAAGGGGTGAGAGGGGGTATAATTGGGTCTAGATGAATCTCAAATCCCCGGTTGTTTCGATATACTTCAGGTCCAAGCATCGACAGGGTCTGGCGTGCATGTGCCAGGTTATAAACGAGGAGAAGATCGTCGGACTGCCGAACCTCGGCTCTTCTCCATCGCTTTTTCCCCTCCCCGCACTAGCTAGACTCGCGCCGCTTTTGGCTCCGTGAGCGGCACGCACGGCGAGTACAACAGGACTCGGACTTGGCCTCATCTTCCCCCGCACCACATTATCATCCTTCTCTCATCTTCCTCCGAGAATCCTCCTTTTGCATCAACGCCATCCCACCCCCTTCCTCTATCTCCGCTCCTCCCCGCCATGACCGCTCGTCCTTAATTCCTCCAATCACCTCGCCGCACCGAGACCACCGGATCTAGTCCCCCATCCCACAAACAACAACCACAACAATGCTTCACTTCCGCACCGAAGGCTTCAACGGCTGCGCAGTCAAATACTCTCCCTTCTTTGACAACCGGCTCGCGGTCGCCGCCTCGGCCAACTACGGCCTAGTGGGCAATGGACGACTGTTCATTCTCGAATTGACCCCCCATGGTATAGTCCCCGTCAAACAGTACGTACAGACCACACCCTCCGCCCATCAACCCTCTCATCTCCAACTAACCCCACCGAAAAAACAAACAAAAGCTTCACTACGCAAGACTCCCTCTACGACCTCGCGTGGTCCGAGATCCACGAGCACCAAGTCCTGACCGCCAGCGGCGACGGGAGCATCAAGCTGTTCGACACGAGCCTGACCGACTTCCCCGTGCAGCAGTGGAAGGAGCACAAGCGCGAGGTGTTCAGCGTGCACTGGAACCTGGTGGCCAAAGACCGGTTCAGCTCGAGCAGCTGGGACGGCACGGTGCGGGTGTGGTCGCCGCACCGGCCGCACTCGCTGCTGACCCTGCCCACGCACAGCTGCACCTACGCCGCCAGCTTCGCGCCGCACTCGCCCGACCTGCTCGCCTGCGTCACCTCGGACTCGTACCTGCGGCTCTACGACCTGCGCACCCCGGCCTCCGCCTCCAATCATCTCACCTTACAGATTCCGATCCACGCCGGAGCAGCAGGGGCAGGGATCGTCGCGCCGCAGCCGGGGGCGCCGCCGCCCATCATGATGGCCAGTGGTGGTGGCTCCGCCGCCCCCGCCGAGGCCCTCACCCTGGATTGGAACAAGTATCGGCCCTCGACGCTGGCGACCGCCGGCGTGGATCGCACCATCCGGACCTTCGATATCCGGGCCCCGCACCAGGGCCCGCAGTCCGTCATGCTGGGCCACGACTACGCCGTCCGCAAAGTCGCTTGGTCGCCGCATCTGTCCAACGTCCTGCTCAGCGCCAGTTATGATATGACCTGCCGCGCCTGGTCGGATCAGTCCCCCGCCGGCGTCGTCGGCGATGTCGACGTGATGCGGGCCGGGCCCGGCGGGCCCAACATGGGAGTCGAATTGGGGCGGATGGGCCAGCATACGGAATTCGTCACGGGGGTGGATTGGTGTCTGTTCGGGAGTGAGGGGTGGTGTGCCAGTGTTGGGTGGGATGAGAGTCTCTATGTTTGGGACGTACGGGCTGTCATGGGGGGTTGATTCCGGTTTGGTCGTGAGCAAGCCTCTTTTTCGTCTGACTGACTCTCCTTCTTCTATATTATGGATATATGATCTTAGACTGCATGATACCAACGTTTTTTTTGTCACCTTCTGATTATGTACTTTTTCATTGCTTGATTTTTTTGTTCATTGTACTTCATTTCCCAGTCTTTCCATCTTGTCTACCGTATTTCAGTTCCAACCCTCTCTATCATGGATCCGAGGCACGCAGCCCTATATCCGACTCCAATTTTGAGCTTTCCGACAAAGAGGAAAAACCCGGGTATATAAACTACATCCTAGTACGTAGCAGCCCGTACTAAACAGCACCTAAGTGTGATGACATCGAGGACAAATCGAAAGAAAAAAAACTCCCCGCCAACAAGAGAAAGAAAAAAAAATCAGAACCTCTATTTGGCCAACCGCGCCTCGACCTTCTTCCGCTCGGCGTCGCGCACGGCCGCGATCTCCTCGCGACTGGCATCGAACGCCACATGCACTTGGTTAAAGGGGTTGTCCTCGCTCTTCTCGAACTCCTTGCGACACAGCTCGATGCGCTGCTGCCGGCGCAGGCCGGGGTTCTCCGCCTCGATCTCGGGCAGCCGGCGGGCCTCGTACGCCGCGTAGGCCGCCTTGTACCGCCGCTCCGGGTGGCGGTCCACCTTGCCGGCGTCCTTGCCCGTCAGGGAGAGGGCGTCCAGCGCGTTGTCGATGCCCGACGCGTTCAGCGCCGAGGCCTTGCTGCCGCCGGCCGGCTCGTCCAGCTGCGACAGGTCCAGCCCCCGCGTCTTCTTCACGGCCTGCTTGGCGCCGCTGCCCTTGGGCTTCGAGGGCTGCGAGGCTTCCTCGGCGGCGAGGAGGGCGTCGCGCTCCGCCTTCTTGCGGGCGGCTTCGGCTTTCTTGGCTTCGGCGTCGTCCCTGCGGGTTGGCAATATTTCAGAATTAGATGGGTTGCTGGAAAGAAACGGAAGCGGGAGGGGTGAAGATGAGTGAGACGAGGGGAGGACTAGGGGAAAACGCACTTCTTAGCGCTGCCCTTCGCTCCCTTCTGCCATTGCTTGTCATCTTCGGCGGCGCGCTTGGCGTCCTCGGCAGCCTTCTTGCCGGCGGCGGCTTCGGCTTTCTGTTGGTTTCGTTGTTAGTGTTGAGTTCTCTAGAGGTAGAGTGCTTCCGGAAGTATCGAGAGAAAAAGGGGGGTGGTGTGGGTGGAAATTCAGCATGGTTCCCGGCGAGAGGGAGGGGGCGGGGTAACAAAATTAGGTGTATATCTTAGGAAGTGCAAAACATACGCGAGCCTGGCCAGCCGCCTTCTTGGAGTTCTCGCCGGCTCCGCCTTTCTTTCCGCCCATGTTTGGTGATCGGTGCTTGGGGATATGTAGGTGGATTGATTGGGAGTGAGGCGCAGAAAGATGTAGCAACCAAGGGAAGAATGTAAGGAAGGAAGAGAGGAGAGGAAAGAAAGGGAAGATGGAGATGGATACAGATGGAAAGCGGGCGGGCGGTGCCTCGAAAGAAGAGATGACGAAGGGAGGCAGTCGTCCTATCGCGGCACTTCTTGGGCCGGGCGGTGGAGTCCCCATGACTAACCACTCCCGGAGCCACGGACGGTTTGGCATGTTTGTTTGTTTTCCATTTCAGTTTCTTTTCTTCTCTACTCCGTACTAACTCACCTAATAGTGGCTGATGGTGAGGGTTTACCAATGGTCGTCGTCTCGCAGCTCAGCGTGGTTGCAGGAGGCCGGGCAGAGCAAGGCGTATGCGCACAGAATCAAACCTATCGATATCCGTTTCGTTTCAGAATAGAGACCAGCACATAAGAAGAAGGTTATTACTGATATTAGACCAAGGAATATACTGTGGATATTATGTATACATGGAAGCAAACAAGGTTGCCCTTGCCTCATGGCGTAGCCTTGACCGGCATTCGATGCTCAGTCGTGTTGGGCCATGCGTCGACGCCATCAAGCAATGCAAGTGCCATGCCTCCGTTCTGATGCATCTGGAGATGGCAATGCATCAGGAATGGCCCCGGGTTGACCACCTGATATCTCAGGGCTAACCAGGTCGGGCCCGCCGTCGCGGGTGGAGAGAAGAACGTGTCTCGCATCTGAGGCGTGTCCAGGTTGAAGTTCTGCGGGATATACTGCATGGCCTCGGCTACGGACGAGTAGGTGAACGTCTCTTGCCCCGAGCCAATGACGAAATACTTGTTGGAATGCTTGTGGATGGGGTGATTTGGCTGTCCAGCAGTCGTGATGTTGATGATGAGGTCTACCCAGGTGTTATTCAGCGTGGATAGTGTATACTGCGCGGGGATCGAGCTGCGGTTGTAAAGCACCGGGAAAAGCCCCTCATTCGATGACGCGTAACTGGCATTGTGCATCTTCCAGGTGTACGAGGCGTTGTACGGGACGATGTCGATGATATAGGTGTGGTCAACGTCCGCAGCCGGCGCTACCACGGGGAAAGGAACCACCTGGGTCTCGTTCAGAAACACCGTCCTAGCCGTGGCATTGCTCCCGACTTCGGTGATGGAAGGCTGAGAGACCTGGCTGGAGCCGCTGGAGGTATTTGAGCCCTGCTTCTCGTAGGACATGATAGCCGTGCCGTTGATCGCCTGAGTTGCGTAGTTGTTGGCGATACGGACAGCATAGTCAGCAGCGGGCTGGTCCAGCTTGACCAGAACCGAGTATCGTGCTCCGATAGGAACGGTGACAGCGTCGACCAGCATGGGCTCAACATAGCGGCCGTCCACCGCATAAACATACATGGGATGCTCGTCGATAGAGAACACTAGGGAGGTGACACCTCCCATACTGATCAGGTCATAGCTCTGGTAGCCTGTGCCCACGCTGAGAATTTCGGTAGGACCCTCGCTGGCCGTACAGCCTTTATAATAGCCATCTGGCAGCTTGCTGGTATCGATCGGATATGCCGGGCCAAAGAGAACCTCGGCAGGAATGCATCTAGTCCAAATTAGCCGCTGCACGTAAATCTCTGCTTCGTTGCCCGAGAACCGTACCCCATATCAGTCAAAGTCGCATTTCCCAGAATCTCCTTTTGAGCAGCCGTCGTGATCGCATTGATATGCTCCTGCGGGGGGCAGAACACGGAACCTTTGCCGTTGACCAGAACGGCACTGGTGCAGATGCTTTCCACGCCCGATATCTTCTCTAGCTGTAGGATGTCCGTCGAATCAAAGTGCTTCCAATCAGAGAGCAGGATGGGCTGCGTGTTCTGTTCCGCATCCAGCATTGCCTGCAATTCGTCCAAATCATTGGTGATCAAATCGAACGGTCTCTCCACCGACTCCGCGGGCTCGATATAGATTGAGCCGTACAGCCCGTCGTCCAGCAGAGCTCGGGAGTGAGAGTGATAGATATAGGTGCCATAGTCGTTGGCCGTCCAGGTGTACAGATACTGTTCGCCAGGCTGGATGAGTTCCTGGGTCAACCCTGGAACACCGTCCGACCATGGCGTGCCCCTTTGCTCGATACCTGTGGAAGTATCCACGAGTTAATGTTTACTCCCGATTGCACGAGACTGTACTAACCATGGAAATGAACAGTCGTCGCCATAGGCATCGAGTTGTTCACCAGAAACTCCACGTCGTCACCCTGCTTCAATTGCAGATGGGGACCAGGGAATTGCCCATTACTGAGAATAGTTTTGCGCACGAATCCAGCGACCTCATGATCCTCGTAAGTTAGATCGATCTGAAACTGAACAACGCGAGCAGACGCCCACTGGGCCAAGCCAGGAATCACTGACAACAAGGCCAGCTTGCTGGGAGAGAACTTCATGGCGAAGAACAAGAGAAGAGAGATACCACAAAGACACCGGGCAGACAAGCAGCAAAACCAAGAGTGCGATGGGGTAAGGGAAGGGGAATATTATAAAAAGTATGAGAGTAAACGCCCTGCGAATAACCTCAAGCCGGAGGCAACGATTGCTTCTTCGCCGTTCTTCTTTGTGGAATTCTGCGCAACAAGACATTCCAGCTTTATAGATGCCATATTCGCGATGCACAGCGGCCGCCCGCCCACCGTGCATCTTGGACTAAATGTCAACTCCAGGCCCAGCCAAGTAAGGGATCCTTCAATGCCTCAGCGTGAGTTCATGATGACCTGCCATATGCGGAGAGGGACTGGAGGGGTTTGACTCGAGGAACTAGAATTGGGCGTAGAAGTAGAATGGCCTGCCATTTGGCCATGGTGAGATGCGGGATTCGTAAGGGTTCATTCGGATGGGCGCTGCAAGGCGTGCAGCAGTTATCTTGACAAGAGCATCCCTTTGGAGCTGTTCGGGTTAAACCGAGGGCCAAAAAGTAAAAACCTGGAAGATGATCGGCAGGCGGGAAGTCGAAATGCCTTTATTGAATCCTATTCTTGATGGGATCTCACCAGAACGAGCCATGCCAATCCCACTTATCACACCGCATGCTTGGCAGCCCGGCAATTATTGTCTAGATAATTGAATTGATCACACTCAAAGTATTTAACTTGGCCAAGGAATACGGCAAGCACTAGATACAGTACATGGGCTTAAAAAACAACATTGGAAGAGTAAAAAGGAAACAAGTGGAGAACAGGAAAAGCGTGCAACAACCACAAGAATGAGGAGCCGGAGTGCCTTGCCGCACAAATGCACACATTAATCAATCTCATCTCGGTCATGGATCGCATTTCTACATTTACCATCATCATAATCATCATATAATTTGTTGGCCCATCAATTTCTCCGTGATCGGGCTCAAGCTATCCTGAATTGGAGTCATCTGCTTGATCGAGGTAATCCGTTTTGTCGATGGCTCTACTACTGGGTAGAGAAACTCAGGCAGTTGCTCTTGAGCCTGGGAGTGAGTGAAAAGACTTTTCGCCCGAGAGCTTGCATCCGACCCATGATGTGATCTGTCGGGTTCGGACAATGCAACCAGGGTAATGGCTTCAGATAAGGCAACAGACTGAGAGCTCATGCTCACAGATTCTGAGATGTCAGCCGCAGGCGTGGGGTTTACTTCAGCAACGGCCTCTAATAAAACAGCAGATTGAACACTATCGCCCACTGGCTCTGATATGTCGCGTACAGACATGAGCGCTGGTTCAGCGACAGTCGCAGATACAGCGGGAAGGAGAACGCTCATGCTCGCTGGATCTGGGATGCTACTCACCGACAGAGGCGCTGTCTCAGCGTTGATATTGCTGTTTGTGCTCTCGGTGGCTTGACTCTGGCAGGCAATAGGAGTGTCGCGAATGGTGCTATCAGCTTGATTGACTGACGTGTCAGGAAGGTGCAGAGGTTCATTCTCCACGAAATCGTGAGGAAATGGACGGAGAGCCGAAGACTTCACTTGGGAGCCCGACTGGATGGCGAAAAATACCATCAGGATGCTCAGAATGGCAATGGCCACATTGCGCCGGTCGCTAGCCAACACGCGGATGTAATTGACCAACAATGTTTGCATGTCGATATCATCGTTCAACTGCGGAGAAAAAGATGGCTTCGGCGGTCGGCTCACGACTGATACAGGCTTGTTGATAGCCGGGGGCGATTGTGTTTCAGTTTCATCGAGTGAGAAAGATCTGTGATCAGCTGTGATTGAGCTTGACGTCCGCGCATGCCGGGCCTGCGGGTGTGCGGGAATGACCGGGTCGGTGCCGGGCACCTGCAGCTGCGGCACCTGCAGTCGGGGGTCCAGTTGGCAGGAATAATAATCAACTCCGGTGAGCCTCTTTTCCAGCTCCCTGCGGATCTCTGATGGCAGCCACACGCCGACCTCAACGTCCACCTTCTCCATTTCCTTCCAAGCAGCAGCCCAAGCTCCAGCTCGCATCAGCCCATTGGCTGCAAACACCTTAATCTCCCATTTCCGCCCGGCGTTGCCATGCCGGACCACATGACCGCCACAGTCCGGGCATGCCTCCCCTTCCTCTTCGTCTGTCGCGCTGTCCTCCTTCTCCAAACAGTCTCCCTTTTCTGACACAGCTTCGTCATGTCCGATAAAGTGACCGTGATCTAGGCGCGGGCGCTGCAGCTCCAGGCTCTCCAACAGCCGCTCCTCAAGCAAGTCATACAAATCTTCCGGATGTGAAATCAGTACGCCACGCTCACGGAGCACACCGGAGCCCGCCTTCTCCTCTAGCAGCTTCCATCGACGCCAGAAGACAGGGGGAAGCACCTCTCTGACGATCTTCTGATTGTGAAAAGCCGCTGCGCCGGCTACTGGAAGCGATGGTGGAAGCAGGTTACAGTGCAACAGGACCAGCGGGTACTCGTCCTTGGCTTTCTGCTTGCTGGCAGCCGACCCGGTGGGTGAGTAGAACTGAGGTTTCTGCGACGGCGATGAGCCCACTGAGCGCATCGAAGCGTCCGAGTAGCGTTGGTGAGCCGCCCGGCGCTTCGGCGGGTTCAAGAAGGCTTCATCGTCCCGCTCATCCTCGGTATGCATTTGCATGGCCTTGACTGAGCTTGGCTTCCTAAACGCAGCTTCCCTCATCCGGGTCGCAGAGATCGGCCGTAAGGTCCCATCGATCCTTCCAAGCGCATGAATGCCATCGTGGCTGTCCCACGGATGAGACTGTCGGTGCCCATGTGCTTTCACCCCCTCTGCCATGTTTGTGTACACCGATGGAGGTACCGATGATATCGAAGAGCGGCTGGATTCTCCTGAGCTCATACAAGCCTGGTCCTCATCAAGGTATACGCCGAGATTCTCGCTGGAGTGGCGTGCCGACGATCCGGAAGATTGATATCCGTCTTGACTCAGCATCTGTACGTCTCCCATGAGAGAACTGCCGTCGTCATGATGCTCGAACTCTTGCGAAATGGCTCGATTGATTGGGGAAATGAAACCCGAGGAGTGCGCGATATCGTAAGGACTTGAAGAAGAGGGGTGTAATGATTCCTCGTCTGGGAGTTCTGCGTAGTCAGTAAATTGACCGCCATAAGGATGGTTCTCCATTGGTGACCTTGGTGGGCCAGAAGTCTAAAGAAGAAAGCAAATGCAGGAACTGGAATGTGAAAGAATAAGAGAAATGGTATCCCACTTGTTATCGGAGCACCAGTAAGAATCAGCACAGTTTGCCCCAATAGTTATAGTTCAAGGGTTCCGGGGATTGTGGATTCGTGAACCAGCCACACTGTAGGTATTCGGTCACTTCAACTCGAGATGTATCACAGAAAATGCCTCCAATGCGAAGAGTCAAGGATACATGATTGCGATTGTTATTTTAAAAGAGTCTTCTGCATGATGTTGATCCTCATCAGTCGGTGTGTTGTTAGTTGATGCTTGACCGCCTGGTTGTGCCGGGCAACCACTAACTAGATCGAGTTACTCGATAGACTAGCCTGGAGTAACTAGTCTTCTAGACAACTAGACCGGTAACTATACAACCATCTGTCATCAGGTTTTGCTACACCTGTCCACAATCAAACGCTCATGGCCTCTATAGACTATGACGGTCGCAGACAATAGATGAAGAGTTCCTTCAGATGTTTTGCTACCATTGTTAATAATAACTTCGTACCCGGATCACCTCAACTCTTTTGTCCGCTCTATCCTAACACTCCTGTCAAAAATGGCGCCCCACAATAACGCTATATTTACGTGCGGAGCTCGCTACCAGATGTGAACAAAATATTTGCCCAAGTATACCCAATGAAACTCAACTTCTACCTTCTTTTAATCCCCAGGAGATTTCAAGTAAACCTTCCACACTGTCTCACCCCTCTGGTTGCCACCGCAGCAACCTCGATAGCAAACCAAGGGATGGCTGTTTACCGACGTCACAGACTGGTAAATTTAGCGAGTAGTCTAGACACCTCCCAGAGCGTCGAAACTCTGATGTTTTCAATTGATCAATCAATGGAAGGCGCATCCTCTCATTCTCTGTTGAACCAAAGCATGTACGTGTATGAATTATGTGGCATGAGGAGTGACAATAGAGAAGGTCTTCCAGTATCATCCGTGCCACGCCGCTGGGTTAAGTACAGTACATCCAACGGAGAAACGTTCTCAGCAAACCGCCGTTTGGATGCTTAGGCCTGAGATAGTCTCAAGCCGGTGGACATTCATCAGTAATGTCAACACATAATGACTCTTATATCTTCTAGTGCCGTAGATGTCCAGCTACCAGACGTAGCACCTTATCACATTGGATATTGTCACTTTTCAACTGGTCGATATTTGAGGTGCTTTACGCCGAGTTGACTTGCCCTGACAAGCCGAGCAGTATTTCGGTGGGTAAAAGTTGATTAGAGTAACAAGATCCCTATCTAGACCTAAAGACGCACTACTGATCATATTCCTCAAACCTAAAACTCCATATCGTTTTGGCGGAGCTGTCAAACCCATATCCCTTGGAACTCGTCGCGCCGATATGCTGCAGTAACGGTGGAACCACAGCCCAGCGCGTCCAGCCCTGGCTGTCAGCAATCGTTTCGACCATCATATCAACCAACCAGTCAGTCGTCAAGTCAGTCTGCTCCAGGAAGCGAGGTATCATCGCTCGAGGGAAAACAAGACCCTGCGAGCAACACCCATATTTGTTCATTTCATGGACTCCCGGGGCAATGGGCCACGTCGTTTGCCGACCGGACATGAAGAAAAGCAGAATCGCACCGGGTATTAATAGGGACGATGCAAGCCAGATGGCACTGGTCGGGAATCGACGGAGCTGCGTGGGGAATACTCGTGTCTTGAAGACCACCATTGTTCCTGTAAGTAGCGCCCAAATAATGAAGGACCACGCTAAGTATTGCGGCCATTCCTCCGAGTTCCAGCCAAGGAGGCCATCGACGTAGAACAGCCGGAGGTAGATCCACTCTTGACCTAGACGTGCAGCCTGCTCCTGCACAGTGTCCAGAGCTTGCAAGGCAGAGGGAAACCAGCCCTTGACCGCCAGGGTATCATCTTCTATCATTGCGACATAGTCGGCGCCAGTCGCATAGCAGTCCTTCTTCAAGGTTGTGAAGTCGTAGATGGTCTTGTTTCGATACCAGCCACCGTCCTCCCACGCTCGTAGTTGTCCGAAGTCGGAGTCATCTTGCGAATACGTTAACAGACGATCGGGTAGCGTTTCCACCCACGTCTCGGAGAAGATAGGATGCTCTTTCGGGTCGGTGTTGCCAACACGAAGGTATAAAAGCATTCTGTTTCTTTCGGTCTCATTGAGTCCATCCAGGAGAGACGCTACTGTCAATCTAACATATTGGTCGCCCCTTCGACGAACCGTTACTATTCCCACGCACACCGCTGGGGGCTCTTGGTGCTGTCTGGTCGGGGGTGCCAAGTTGCCGGCAGAGGCAAGAAACGTCTTTGCTTGCGCAATCCGTGTGGAAGAATATTGTTTCTGATAGGCACGGCTGGGATTGAAGAAAAAAGACGTGGGATCGCGATAGCTCGAGCTATGGTAGTAGCCAAGGAAGACGAGACATAAGATGAGATAAATGCAGCCTATAATGCTGACCGCAGAGAATGGCAGTCGGCCGAGTTGGCGATACAGGGGAGTGTTAGCCATTCGTGCTGCTCATAGAGAACGAACAGTTTGACGGTGGAAGGGATGAAGTAAAGATGCCAAAGTAGGGACAATAAGAGTGGGTCCGTGCACAAAGCGACATTGCTAGTGCGTACTGTTAATTTCAAATTACCCGTAAGACTGTATTTTGGGTATGACAAAGTACATAGATTACCGCGTAAAAGCTTGTCCCTTGACCCTTAGTTACATGTTTCATTCAAAGATCTTCGATACAAAGGTCGAAATCAGACATACAGGGTCTTTTTGACAGGACCCGCCAGGCCTTCTGAGTGGAGTCCCTATGCCAAGAGTCCAACAGATGCAGTTGATATCTTCTACAATCTAGGTACCTACAGCCTGTACAGCTATAGCACACACATATCTCTCAAGCGTATGAGCGTCCAGGCTGCACGAGAGCTGTAGTCACCGTGGCCACGCGACGACTGGCTGAGACCAACCCCTCAGTAGAATGTGATAAACCCCAAATACTATCCTCTGTAGATGATGAGGTATTCCTGCCTGTGTGATGCTCATTTTGCGGTGTGGACGAGTGATAGAGCAAGCTGGTATACATGCCAACTAGTTCAGTTCCAGAAGAATCGCCGCAGATTTCAGCAGAGGGCGCATGCCCATCGAAGAACAGTACAATGCGGCCTTGTCCACAGGGGTCAAAAGCTCTCGCCACACGAATCCTTGCTAGGTGAACGAAGGTCTTCGAGCTCTGGATCCCCCCTCCAGTATTGGTCAAGACACCAGACGCTGGCGGAGAATTGTGCGCCAGAGCAATGAGCTCTCCGACTGAACTCCAGCTGCCCGACGTGTGTCTTTTTAGGATGAGGTAGATGATATGGCCAGTAGCGATCGCCATGTGGGCAAAGAGGACTGACATGGCGAGAGTACCAGCAAGAGAGCTTTGGAGTGAAAAGCCACTTATTTCCATTTCTGCTTTGATTGTCACTGATTCGCTAGGGGGGAGGGGGTGGTAGTCGAAGGTTGAATCGCCGATCTGTCTTCGATAAACAGTTCATGACTTCCCGTTCGGCTGAGGCCATCAAGAATGACACTGCAGACAATGGCCTCCACTAGAGAGACCCTCTGCCAGCTTGAACTATTGTTGACGAGCCAGCCATCGAGAGCTATCTCATCGGTCTTCGCATTGGTTGCCAAGCCTGCATTCGAAAAGAGGCTTTCAATCGTCGAGGGTCGCCAGGTGTTAGTAGTGTCACCCACTGTAAGGGGGCTAGGAGGAGTCAATAACCTCAGCCACTTATCACCGAATGCCACTCGACCATTGGTCGGGCTGTAAGAGATCGGATTCCATGCGGGAGAACGATTGTTATATTGGATATTCCACGGATACCAGCCGGTCCAGAAAGTGTACCTGTCAGTAAAGACCGTTGCAGGAACCCAGCCAGCCTGTACTGTACAACCAATTGCTACTCTGGCGGCGCTGCCTCCCTTGGTGGTTTTCCAGGGGGTCTGAAATAGTCCCGCAATGCTAGCAGCACCAAATCTGGGCGGAAGATGAACCCATCGAAACTGTAGGTGGTCAGTGGGAGTGGAATTAAGACTACCCACATCGAGTGGTAGGCTGTTGGCAAACTCAAATTGACCATGTATTGAAGGAAAATACACTGTGGTGTCTGAGGCACGTAGCTTTTGTGGCGCTGCACAGCGGGCCAGAGTGATAGCATGTTTGAAGGTAGCCGAAGCAGTACGATCGTCAACTTGACTCTGCGAAAGACCTTTCAGCGCACTGAAGGCCCGCCACCAATCTTCTGCAAGCCGCTGTAGCATTACCACGGTTGCTGCATGCGGTTGTATCAGGGATGTTCTTCCATTTGGCTCTTGCTGAATGTCTCCTAGTGAATAGAGGGGTGGAATTAGAGACAGGGGACTGGAGACTGGCCAGTAAAACCGAGAACCGGACAGTTCCTTTGCATAGGAGCGGACATTCTGGGTTTGGAAAGTGGTGCTGTTCATCGTCCCCCAGTGATTCCACAACGAGTGAAATCCGCCCGCCGGGCAGAATCCCAGAAGAGTTGAGTTATGCTCACTGCAGAGTTGCTCGAGGTCTGGGATCCCTTTCGACAAGTCAACAGGCCAATAATCGCTCTCTGATCCGTTCAAGACAAGCTCAGTACTTCCGGTGCTCCAGGTTTGTGACTTTGGAACCAGGAGAACAGCACTCGCTGGCCCAGCAAGAGTAGCTAGCAGGCCCGCCACGACTACAAAGCTAATCAGTGCAGCCCTGCGCGATCTCTCACCATGAATAGCCATGCATTTTAAACCACCATAGAATTCTCTCGAGAAGAAATACCCGAAGTTGTTCAACGCAAGCCCTGATCCCAAGAGACCCAAGGGAAGACCACCACCAAAGAGCAATTCATGGCGGACACACTGCAGAACAGCCACACTCAAGCTTGCAACAATCATTATCTCATGAGCTTTGGCAGCTAACTGGAAGAGTGCCAGGTTTATGGTCTCGGATTTGAAAGGTGACATCATGTCCGCCCCCAGATATATGCCCTTGATATTCAGTCCGACAATTGTAGATGACATGGCGATGGGAAGGAGGTGGATTACGCAACATCGAAGCGCACCAAGTATAGACCGCTTTATGACGACTTTGTGAGGTTCTTGTTGGCTAGGTGACGTTGTGTTCATGATGGATAGAGGGATATTCGCTGCCGTCTCTTCTTAAAGCGCCACTCAAGCAAAGTGACATGCCTGGACTAGCTAAGTTTGTAGGCTTGGGTGTGATTGTAGCTCAGAATAGGAGATGAGATGAGATGAGATATCTCCAGGGAATGCGGGGACGAGGAGCTGAAGAGCAACACTGAGAAATCAGACATTAAGCACCCTGAGCATGTCGGCTTTCTGGCCCTGGTCGCCTAGACAAGAATGACACAGGATGTCTCAGGTTGGTTATGACGGATCACTCTCATATCTCTGGCCAGTGGCAGTCTGTGAGTTACAATTGGGCGAATGGCACAAAGAGGCGTCACTATTAGGCTTGCAATGTTGTCAGTATAATTTCTGCTCACTATGCTCTTCGTGTTCTGTTCAGACACTGTTTCAGAATCAGTCAGAATAATTGAATGCCAATACTTGCTCGTTTCTTTGACGCAGTAATCTTCCAGCATATTTGAGCAACACTGGGCTCTATCATGATGCCACAGTCTACTTTCAGACTCACGTATAAGCGAAGTCAGACTAAAATGATTAAATCAAATCAGTTGCGGAAAATGGCAGGAAGAAAACTTGGTAGCGGATGTACAGGTATATTACTTGAACAAGCACCCAAATGAGAGAGGAGGAACAGAAGAATAAAAAGGATAAACAAAGAAACGAAGAAAGAAGACCAGAAAACAGAACCCAGCCCGCTGAATCGATAGACATTGAATGGCATCTATCAGACATCAAAATCGACCAAAGCATGATTTACAAACAAGCCCAATACCGAGAAATCTCTAGATCAAAAAGGTCATATGCTGGTATCCAATGCTTGTTGCTGAAGACGTACAGAACATATAAGGAAAAGTACAAGCGCCTATGCGAACCCTCTGTCTGCCCCACAGCAACTCTTTTCTGTTGTGGTATTTATAGCGATTCTCGGAGTTAATCTCTGAAGTGGGTAGAAGGAGTGCAGACCGTGTGTAAAAGAGCATAAATATCGTAGGGATCGTATGGTACGATAGCAAGCTAATGTGGTCGAGAGGTTTCGTCATCTGGACTCAGCATGCCCGGATAATTTTGGTTATCGCCAAAGTAATTGAGAACGTCCTGTGGAAGGTATTCAAGCCATGGAAGTATCTCACCGCTGAAAGCGAAGGGAAGCTGGTCATTCTGTTGGAGCATAGTCATATCAACGTCCTGGCTCTCAATAAACACATTTCCAGCATGAGGTCCGGCATCAGGATGCAGCCCAGTGCTCTGCGCAATCATGTGCCCGCTCCCTGTATGAGCGTCACTGACAGTAGAAGGGATGTTGTAATTATATACTTGTGCGTGTCCCTCGAGCCCGCATGCAGCAGAAGGCATTTGATGGCCGAAAGCCGACCGAGAATTAGGTGGACGGGAAGTCGAACCGGGAAAAGCCGTATTCAAACCAAGAAGCAGGTTAGCATCAGACGTGGTGACTCTACCGGAGGATGCCAAGGGTGAATATTGCGCAGTTGCAGGGGCCATTGATGGCCCTGGAGTCGCCTTTGTGCTCCGGGATGACTCTGTGGTCTGTGAGTATGAGTACGAAGTCCCACCACTATTAGCTTGAACTCCTGGTATATTGGTGTAGCTATGGCTATATTGAGATGAATATGTTGGCTTTTCCGGGATAGGTTCTGTCTGTGCAGGCATCTGATAAAGAAGGCTTAGATTCGGCTGCGAAGAGTCTGTCGCGCCAGTAAGAGCCCATCCAATAGCTCGAAGGCAGTTAGCTCAAATCGAGGTAAAGAGAATCAAATAATAAATCCTACCTTGACTCGGATCTATTTTCGGTGATCGCCTTCCTTCTGCTGGCATATCTGCGCCCGGCGCTGATGGGCCAGCACCCACCGCATCATCAGACGACTGCGTCCGTCGCCATGGTGGTGCCGCGAGTGGCTGGACAGATGATAGCTCAGCAGTACTTTCCATCTCTTCCACAGTATATAAAAGTGGGTCCACGATCCCTTTGGCCTTTTGGTCTAAGACCGTTAGAATGTACCTTGTACCTTCCCAATAGGTCTCGAGCGCCTTCAACGCTTTGTAGCATCTCTGATAATTCTCTTTTGCCGCAGATGCGAGAAGAATGTGCTTAGCGGTGGGTTTTCGTTCAGAGCCGGTGGCCGGATCTATGCTGGGCATCACAAATCCACTAGATTGATTTGTCAAAAGGGGTTGGATGGGAGGCGAACACGACCTCGATGATGGCGAGGAGTAATAAGCACTCTCCATCAGAAAAGCGCATGCAGCAATGTACATCGGTTGGCTTGTGAAAGGATTGCCGATAAAACTCTTTCCGTCAACAAGCTCTGAAAAAGAGAGGATGTCAGCAATGGTTTTAGCTGAGGACATTGACAATTCTCGGCTGTTTGGATATAGATGCTGAATGGTCCCTCCAAAAGAATGAAGGAGCGTGGGCTGATGCAGCAAGACTATCAGGGTGTGGAACCACTAGTCTGTATTAGTACAAGAGGAGCTCTCAGGGAAAGAAGGCCAAGCATACGAAATGCAAGAGTATGAAATTTGTTCCTTCTTTCGCCTTGACATATGCTTGAAAATTCGCGGCGTTGAAGTGGAGCCTGGGAGATAGACGTTGGTATATTCCTGGTACATAACCATGATTAGCTGTTGCGTGGTGGAAACTCGAGTCCGCGGTATCACTACCTGTCAGGTCGCTTTCCATGCCGGCAAGCATCTTCAGTGTATCAGATGTTACGTGCTTGACATCCTGAATCCCATTGATGAGGTCTGTCACTCTGCCATACAAGTGTATGATGCGTATAAGTGGAGGGAATGGTGCAGGCCAGCCATTAGGTAACCTAGATTCGGATTGGAGAGGGAAACGGAGTTCAATATCTTCGTCGCGTAAGGTAACAGGCCTGCCGGTGCCAGATGAGATCACTCGATCGAGAAAGAAGATGCTCCAAAAAGAATCCACTCTTTCACGTTCCAAAGCACGTCGACCTTCCGCGTCACGCGGCTGGCTCCTTAGTGTTGGCGAAGGTTGCGGTTCATCATACTGATCATCTCTCAACTTCCCAGCTTGTCCAGTAAGCACAGCGTTCGGAGTTACCCCACTCTGGCCATAATTGTATTCCAAACCCTGGACTTTCTGCATCCCAAGATCCTGCGCCATCCTGATGGATATCCCCAAATACATCCAGAGACCACTATCATGATTCGATCCAAATTCCTCGTAAGCCAGCAAGAGGCATGCCTGCACAACGGAAATGGTGGGACAGGAGAGTGAATCGACCAGAGCACTCATCGCTCTATGAGCGAATGGCTGGCCGCGGTTTGATTTCTTCATATCCACTGCCGGTTCGGATCCATCTATCGAAGGTGCCTGTGGCGGGCTCAAGAGCGGATGGAGAGAAAAGCGAGCAGACAGTGCACAGGTGGCATCCACCAGCATTGTATCAACCTTCTTATCTTTCAGGTCGCGTAGAAACCTGTCTCGTTGTAGGAAAGGGAAGCTGCACCCTAGATGCACGAAAAACAGATCGCAAAGATGCATCACGAGATTGCTGACGGGAAGGGGATCATCGCGATCATAGAACGGAATAGTATTATAGTCACGGCTGTCACGGGTATCAGGCAAACCGCCCACATTGTTGATGTCATGATTAGGGAATTTGGGACTTCGTAACGGTGATAAGGACTCTGTATGTGCAAAATCAGTACGTTAACGGCCAGTATCTTGTGGCGCATTAAAGCGTTTGGCAGGCGAAGTGGTGCAGACCTGATGATAATGAGGCATTGCTTTTACGAGAGCCTCTGACTTGGACAACCTGCAAGCACGAAGATCAGTATCGCGACCATTCCAGCACCCTTTATTTGGGGAGGGGGATGTTCAAACCATCTGCTTGAAGCCGGGAACTATAGCGGTTGGCCCAAAATACCTGAAATAGGGGACATGTGTGCGAGCGTTTGAACTTAAAGAAGTGCGATCTAGACAGATGAGACATTGTAAGCACCGAGCAATCACCATGCATAAATCACGGCTGGAACGTTCTGTCACATACTGCTCTCTGGACTTTCTGCTAAGGTCTGCTGCTCAGGCTCTTTTGTTCTTTGGGAAGATATGTCCCTGACAGATAACGCCTCTTTCACCTCCGATGTAATGGACTCTGCTACAGACTTGTCATTGCGTTCGACAGGAGGCACGGTAGCTCGACCTGGAGGATCTGGGGAACGAGTTTCGACTTTCAGAGCCACGCGCGAAGTATTCTCACTCGAGATTGATAACGACGCGACTGTCGCGGCTCGAGCACTGGAATCAGATTGCGATCGGGCATGTGTTGCTGGCTCGCTATACCCTTGGCATACATGGTTGTAGTCGGAGCAAGTCTTGCACACTTACGTTCCCGAATGCGACCTGTTAGCGGTGGGTTACAGCCCCGAGGATCTCGGCTCCTTCTCACCTGGTTGTTCACCCGAACATCGTATCTTGCGCTTGCGACATGTTAAACACCTAAAGGATATCCCAGCCACCAGTTAGTGAATGATTCCAACCAGGAAGAGAGTTAAACCTAAACAGTTCGCAGTAGAACTTACGCCGCGTTGACACGCCGCCGCTTTGTTTGAGGCTGACCGTCTGTCGACACAAAGCGAATTTGTCGCGGAGGGGGAACATGATTACCGCCGTTCTTCTGAGGAGAGATATGGCTCATTGCGAGCAAGTGGTCATCCGGCGTCACGACACATTGGGCACCTGATGGTTAAGTCTGAGAGCTCTATGGCGGTCGATCGTTCCCGCAGATGATGCGCCGGGGGATCGTAGACTAGGAGTATAGAAGTCGCGGCGAGTGACAAAGAGGGAGATTCCTGGACGAAAGGACTCGACGGAAGGGAACATCCATGGACAGGCGCTATTTCGAATGTGACTGGTGCAAGTTCATCGCAGGATCCCCGGTGGGCGAGAGCCAGAGATTAACGAGGGGAGGCTGGGTCGAGTGTTCTTTTCGGTCGACAACAAGAAATGCGGAATTGTTCTTGGGAGGGGGTGACTAGGTAGTGTTGGAAACTTAACTTAGTGGTTAGTACGAGGTTCCTCCCTGGTCATGCCCTCCCAGGGACCCCCCACAGGCGATGACTGTCTTAGTCGTTGTCGGGTTGAGAAGAGCCCGCTTGGACTAATAGTTAATAACTTTGCCTTTCTGCCTTAGACAGGCGGCGTCGGAATAGAATGCCACCTCAAGAACTTGAAGGAATGGCAGCCCAAGCGATTCTAGCCTGACCGCTTAGTAGTGATCCAAAGAATCAATCGCTTGATCACAACCCCGAGTCAAGCAAGTTGAGCCGGTCGATCCGGCTAAGCAGGTAACGAAATCAAAAGTTGGATGAAGATATCTGATTGGAAACAGGAACGAGGTCTCTGTGCTAGATAGACTCTATGGAAGGACGGCAGAAGCAAGCCGAAGAAAAAAGACTGAAACGAAAGGGGAAAAGAGAATTGGACTGGTCCCGCCTTCGATGGATCTGTAGCCCATGTGACTATCAAGTATTTCTTTCCCTTACAGCCTCATTACGGGACTTGGTCACCACAGTATCCTGTCATTTCGCCCTTCAAAGACAGCGTGTGTGATAAGAGGCAGCTTTGATTTTGTCACCTCCTTGTTCAGCTGAGGTTACTGGGGTAGCGAAGAGCAGTCCCGACGCTGAGAGACGATCACCTGGAAGTCTGATGTGAAGGTCTGGACTCTCCGCGGTTGGAGTCTGGGGGAATTTGAAAGTGGACACTTGAAACTGTGCTCCATCCATCTGTTCTCCGTATGGGGGGGCTCCACCTCGGGCGGATTCCTCCATGCGAAACACTTCCTCGGTCGGCTCTCTTCCGTTCCCCATTCATCTCCCTTCCCATCCCATCCACTAACCTTAGAACAAGTAGCAAGCAGTCAACAATGCCGTTCGTTTTCACATCTTTAGGTCTAAACGTGTAACACGATTTCCTGAACCCATACGACCGTCCTAAAATCTTTTCATGGAAGGTCAAACCTCTCAGACCCTCTCTATCTTGGAGAATTCTATCTATTGTTCTATCATGCCTCTAGCTGCTGTACCAATAGCCATCACTCAAGGAACCTATACCTCTTCTACCTGTATCACTCGACTTTCCTCTCGGGCCGGCTAGAATTGTGGTCTAGGAATCTCGAACGCATCGGTAGTCCGCCCGTACGAAATGCCCCCCAGGCGACTGATGGGCTTGAGAACCTTGAGGTCGACAATACTCTTATCCTCATTGATGGCATCATCTCGAACCCAGAACCGGACACCCTCAATAATCGCGAGGACGCTGGACTTCTTTCCCGGAGTCGTTCGGCTTTCAAACTCCCTGGTCTCGACAAGCTTCCCTTCAATGGACATGATAGATTCTTTGACCCGAGCTGGTTTGACAATGGTACTCGGCTCTTGGTGTAATCCCGAGACCTCCCATTCCGATACGCCATAGGGAGCGTTGATGGCAGTCGCATTGGCCGCTTCCACGAAGTGTTCCGAAATAATATTAATCACACATTCCTCGGTCTCTGCCAGATTCTTCAGGGTGTCTTTCGCCTTGTCAAGGGAGCCAACAAATCCCACAATAAAGAGTGGAGGATCGTGGTTGATAACCTGTGAATAACTGAACGGGGCCAGATTGGCTGTCTTCCCATCCTTGGACTTCGTGCTGATGAGCGCAATGGGTCTGGGGACCATCCCGGAGATGAGAAGTTTGTAATTAGAAGCCACGGGGCGCCCTTCCTCGTACGGGTCGATTTGCACATGGTTCTTCTTCAAACTCTCGCCTCCATCGTTACCTCCGTCTCCCTCCTTCCAGTCGGGCTTGGGAGGCTTCGAAAAGGTGACAGGGATGTCTCTGTTGAAGTCCGGCCGAGAAGCCTGAACTTTCTCGAAATCATCGTGGGCTTTGGACATATTCGAAGAGTGAGAAAAGGATCGAGGAGGGCAATTTGCTCGGATGTAGGCACGGGGAATTCTCTTTGGGACACTAGACATGCGTTAGTAAAACCAGCGGTTGGTGCTCGATCATTGTTATCGAGACTGTGCGGAAAGCATGGAGGCGTCATGACTGGAGGGGTCTGGGTATCGCTTACGCAAGAGAATATTTCGGCTTCAGAGAGTGGCACAAAGTAATTGATGAGACACGGTGGTACATTGGGACTGGATTTGAAAGTTGGCAGCCGAAGGACAGGCGGGATTTCAGGCGTGTGGTTGCCGTGCTAGGACCGAGCTGTATTTCCACAATGACGTCTCATGATTTTGCTCTTACCTCCACGCCACTCCCGAACGTTGAGAGCAAAGATATAGCGTGGCATTAAACCCCCACTATCGATAAGTTATCCGTGCCGCATCTCCCGTTTGTAAGCGTCCCGACCAACCCCGCGGTGGGACGGAAAATCGGGGGAGCATTGGGAAGCTTATCAAGTTGTCATCGACCGGAGCTGAAGATGAAGCCCTTCCTTTGGGTCCAAACTGGCGACACCACACGGCTGAAAAACTGCTGAGAGGCTTATATGTCTGATCCTGGTCTTGTCCAATTTCTGGTCACACCCATGGCAATTAGACAAGTCACCGACCAGCAGCAACAGAGAATATGGGTACGAATTTCAGTACTAGATCTATGTTCGAGCGTATATCACAGAGAATCTCCATGGACAGATAGTTAGTACAGATCACGCTACTAGACTTTTAGTCATCAATGTCGATGAATAGTCGCTTGGAAGCTTGTGACATTATGCAGACTTCAGCTCAAGATCGCAATTCCAAATGATAATCGGTAGGTAGCTAGATCTCGATTCCAAGCAGGGAACATGGCTCTATCAGGTGCTCCGATAAGAGAAAGACAGGCAAACAAGGCAAGGAAAGGCTTGTAGACCGACCCCTCTTTCCCCATCTTTCCCATCGCCATCACTTCAGCATCAGCACAAGACCCGACACCATACAGTGATTGTTCTACGAGCAAGTCTACAGTCTCAGATTCTATAGTTCTTCAACCGATATAATGACGAAGAACGATTACGAGATCTTCAAGCTGGGAGATTGGGACCTTCAGAGCGGGGAGAAGCTGGTCGACGCCTACATTGCATTCAAGACGTTTGGAGATCCCAAGTCGCCCGCCATTGTTTACCCCTCCTGGTTCTCAGGCCGTATGTGACTTGATTTTCATCTTCCAAGGTAGTCATGCATTTACACTGATATACACAGAGATCTCCGACAACTTCTGGTTAGTCGGAGAAGACAAGACCCTGAACCCCAATGAATACTACATAATCATCCCAGCGCTCTTTGGGAACGGCCAGTCAACATCGCCATCCAATTATCCCATTCAAGGACCCTTCCCAAAATGCTCCATCTACGACAACGTTCGCGCTCAGCATATGCTATTGACCCAGCATCTAGGCATCAGCCATCTACGTGCAGTGCTTGGATGGTCAATGGGAGCCGCGCAGAGCTTCCAGTGGGCGACACAGTATCCCGACTTTATGGATCTGGTGGTACCATTCTGCGGTTCAGCCAGGACGTCGCTCCATAACCAGGTATTCCTTGAGGGCGTGAAAAGTGCATTACTCGCAGCGAAGCACATTTCTTCAGCAGGATCTGGAAATGCCGGTGTTCTTGAAGCCGACCAGTCTGATAGGGCATGGAGCGAGAGAGAGAAACAGACCGGACTGAAGGCTTTTGGTAGGGGCTATGCTGGCTGGTAAGAATAATCGATCAACCCGTCCTTTGTCTGGAGCAGGAGACATTCTGACGTGCCCTCTGTGAAAGGGGATTCTCACAAGCATTCTACCGGGAAAAGCTATATGAGACCGCCCTCGGATACAAAGATTTAGAAGACTTCATGGTGAGCTTCTGGGAGAGCTGGGCGCTCTCGAAAGGTCAGCCTAGCCACGTGCGAATGCATGCACCGAGGAACCTTTGTTGATAGGACTTGCATTTTAGACCCAGCCAATCTCCTGACAATGCTGCAAACATGGCAGAATGCGAATGTGGCAGATCAAAAGCCATATAACGGAGATTTCGAGAAGGCCATGGCTTCTATCCAAGCAAGAGTCTTGGTGTTGCCTGGAAAGACCGACCTATACTTCCCGTAAGTGTGTCGTGCTGCGTGCGTTATCTGGAGGCAGAAACTCATATCCAAACACACAGGCCTGAGGACTCGGAGTATGAGGTTGCCTGTATGGCACCAGGAGTTGGTACTCTCGACATCTTTCCCTCGGTTTGGGGTCGTAAGTTTTGTCCTACAACCCCGAACGAGTCTCTGATCTAATGCATAACTCAACAGATTGGGCTGGTGGTCCCGGATTGAGTAAGGATGATCTCAACTGGTTGGACAAGAAATTGAACGATTTTTTCAAAGGGGAAACCTCTTCTATCGGAGAGAGGTTGGGGGAGAAACTCAAGTTTATGACCTTGGGAGGGCAGTAGTAGTGACTAAGGTGGATCCAAGCAGCAAGTACTAGTGACTTGGTAGTTGTTTGAACAGTGTCACTCTTATGAACCGTAACCGAACTTCCAAGTGAATTGGGTTGTGCTTTCCCGCAATCAACCATCATCCACTCGCACGTGATGGGGCTGGAATGCTGAATCAGCTGCTGATCTGGTGGCCGGCGATAAACCTTCAAGCGCCTCCTCATTTCCAACCCCGAGTCGATCAAAGCAGCTGTTGCAA